GACCAGGATGGTCTTGATCTCTTGACCTCGTGATCCACCCGCCTCGGCCTCCCAAAGTGCTGGGATTACAGGCTTGAGCCACCGCGGCCGGCCAATTTCTCCTATTATTAACATCTTACATTGAGAGGGTAAATTTGTCACAATTGATAGATCAATGTTGACACGTTATTAACTAAAGTCCATAGTTTATTCATACTTCCTTAGTTTTTACCTAAAGGCTTTTTGTCTGTCCCAGGATCCTGTTTAAGATACTACCTTGCATTTTGGTGTCATATTTCCTTAGGTTTCTCTTGGTTGTGACAATTTTTCAGACTTTCCTTGTTTTTGATGACCTTCTGAGTTTTGGAGTATTTTCTACAATGGCCCTCTAGTGAGATTTATCTGATGATTTTCTCACAAGTAGACTGGAGTTATTATGAGACTTGGGAAGGAAGATTGCAGAGATAAAGGTGTCATTTTCATGATATCACATCAAGGGTATGTATTATCAACATGATTTATGAGTGTTGATATTGACTTTGATTACCTAGCTGATACGGTTTTTGTTTTATTCTTTGGGATTTTTTTGAGATGGAGTCTCACTCTGTTGCCCAGGCTGGAGTGCAGTGGCACAATCTCAGATCACTGCAACCTCCACCTCCTGGGTTCAAGCAATTCTCCTGCCTCAGCCTCCTAGGTAGTTGGGATTATATGCACCTGCCATCATGCTTGGCTAATTTTTGTATTTTTGGTAGAGATGGGGTTTCACCGAAATTGGCCAGGCTGGTCTCAAACTCCTGACCTTAGGTGATCTGCCCACCTTGGCCTCCCAAAGTGCTGGGATTACAGGCATGAGCCCACGTACCCAGCCTATTTTTATTCTTTTTTAAATAAAGATTAGGTAAGTATGGATTCACAGATATTTATTTTACACTTTGGGTTGCAATCCTTGGTGACATTATTCCAGCTTTGGCCTGGGACACAGTTGACTACTGTACCCCTTTGCCATACCCCCATCTGTGTAGAGTATTTTTTTCTAAACTCGACTTTGTGCAGACTTTGGCACAAGCTCCTCCCAGCATCTCTGAGCCCAGCTGGCACCGAGATGGGTGTGTCAAGCAGATGTTGCAGTGCTGCGCCAGCCTGGGCACGTCTGCTTATGAAGAGCAAAGCAATGAAGAGCCGAGAGCTTCCTGCAGTTGCCTGTACCAACCTCCATAAACCACCAGGCCTATAACAGGGAACACCACCGACAGAGTGATGACATTATCTTATTTGTTCAATATTTGTCCTAAGTTTTAGTTGTTTATTGCCTGATTTTTATGTTTATGATGAGGCCAAAAAGCAGTCGTTAGGTATTTTGAGAGTTACTCATTCAACTTTGAAACAAATACTTCTACTACTTCTCCTTTCTAGCTTCTAGATTGGTTTAATTGAAGGCCATTCTCATCTCAAAACAGAAACTGAAAAAAAAATCCTTTAGCAGGAGTTAAGAGGACAGATCCTGGATTGGGACTGCCTAGATTTAAGCCCTTGACCTTGGACAAATCGCTCTTCTGTCCCTGAGTTTTCTCATTTATGAAAGAGGGATGTTAATGATAGACCACTTCAAAAGGTTTGTTAAGTGAATTAACATATGCAAAGTGATTAGGACAGGGCTGCCACATGGGGAGTGCTATGTAATAGTTTTCCGTGGTGGTTGTTGTTGGGTCTCGCTCTGTCACCCAGGCTGGAGTGCAGTGGTGCAATCACGGCTCACTACAGCCTCAACTTCCTGGGCTCAAGCAATCCTCCCACCTCAGTCTCCCAAGCAGCTGGGACTACAGGCATGCGCCACCATGCCTGGCTAGCTTAAATTTTTTTTTTGTAGAGATGGGGTCTTGCTATGTTGCTCAGGCTGGTCTTAAACTGCTGGGCTCAAGTGATTCTCCTGCCCTAGCCTCCTAAAGTGCTGGGATGACAGGCAGGAGCCACTGTGCCCAGCCGGTAATAGTTGTTATCATTATTATTTATAACCATCCATCTGTATGATCAGACTTTTCTCAGAACCGTATGTACCAAAGCAAAATACAAAAATAAGTTGGATGCAGAGACTGAAATGAGACTGTGAATTGGTCAGAACTCTGACTTTAAAATGCAACAGAAACTGGCTCTGGATGACTTAAGCAGAAGAGGGATTGACGAGAGGGATGCTGGGCAGCCCACAGTCTCTGGGAAGGCTGAAGAGCCAGGTTAAGGGCGTGAATGAAAACAAAGGGTGCCAGACAGCAGCCAGGAGCATGGCCAGAACTGTGGTGCAGAAGCTATCGAGAGTCTTGGCCTGTTCTCAGAGCCCTGGGCAGCTGTGCCACAACCATGTTTGGGGTCTGAACCATGACCCTGCTGCTGTTGCCGTGGAATCTGGACAAGGCTGCAGTAGCTATGGCCACTTCCACTGGGAAAGATTCGGTGCTGGGCTCTGGCTTGGTCCAGGCTCCTCAGTCCAGGGCAGTGCACCTGATTGGCCCAGCCCAAATAGCATGACTAAGCCCTGCAGCTAAAGGAAGCTGAGAAGTATGGGGCGTTTTCAGCCTTTATGTTGACAGGTAAGCAGTAGGCTCCAGCTTCCACTAAGACGTCAAAGATAGGGTCTTCCACAAACCTGCGAAGGGACTCCAAAACTGGGTAGCCAAAAAGTAACAAATGTTGCTCATCACCCTGCTTTCAAATTTTTTCCATCATATTGGCATCGATGGACTTTAACAACAAGCACTGACCCAGCACTCTTGTATCCCTTGTATTTTTCCTTTTTAAAAAAATATAGCTGGGCACAGTGGCTCATGCCTGGAACCCCAGAACTTTGGGAGGCTGAGGAGGGTGGATCACCAGGTCAGGAGTTCAAGACTAGCCTGGCCAAGATGGTCTCTACTAAAAATACAAAAAAATTAGCCTGACACGGTGGCAGGAGCCTGTAATCCCAGGTACTCAGGAGGCTGAGGCAGGAGAATCACTTGAACCCAGGGCGGGGGGCGCGGAGGTTTCAGTGAGCTGAGATCATACCACTGTGATCCAGCCTGGACAACAGAGTAAGACTCCATCTCAAAAAAAAAAAAAAAAAAAATAGAGATGGGATCTCATTATATTGCCCAGGCTGGAGTGCAGTGATACGATCTCAGCTCCCTGCAACCTCCGCCTCCCAGGTTCAGGTGATTCTCCTGCCTTAGCCTCTTGAGTAGCTAGCTAGGATCCGCCTTCCAGGTTCAGTTGATTCTCCTGCCTCAGCCTCCTGAGTAGCTAGGATTACAGGTTTGCACCATCATGCCTGGCTAATTTTTGTATTTTTAGTAGAGACAGGGTTTCACCATGTTGGCCAGGCTGGTCTCGAACTCCTGACCTCAGTTGATCCTCCCTCTTTGACCTCCCAAAGTGCTAGGATTACAAGCTTGAGCCACCGCACAAGGCTGTATTTTTCCTTTTTTTTTTTTCTGAGATGAAGTCTCACTCTGTCACCCAGGCTGGAGTGCAGTGGCGCGATTTTGGCTCACTGCAACCTCTGCCGCTCAGGTTCAAATAATTCTCTGGCCTCAGCCTCCCGAGTAGCTGGGATTACAGGTGCCTGCCACTGTGCCAGGCTAATTTTTATATTTTTTAGTAGAGATGGGGTTTCACTGTGTTAACCAGGCTGATCTTGAACTCCTAACCTCATGATCTGCTGGCCTCGGCCTCCCAAAGTGCTGGGATTACAGGTATGAGTCACCGCACCTGGCTGTATTTGTCCTTTATTAAAAAAATAGAGATGGGGCAGTTCAGCAGTCCCGCGGATCTGTCTCTTGCTTCGACAGTGGATGGAACAGATTCCAGGGACTCTTTCTTCCAGCCTCTGACTGCCTTCCAATTTCCTCTCCACTTGCAACCTCCAGGACCATCTTCTCGGCCATCTCCTGCTTCTGGGAACCTGCTGACACAATTTTTGTGCTTAGCTCCTTTTTGNCAAAAATTTTTAAAGAAATAGCCAGGGGCAGTTGGCAGTCCCACAGATCTGTCTCTTGCTTCAACAGCGTTTAGACGGAGCAGATTTGGGGACTCTTTCTTCCAGCCTCTGACAGCCCTCTGATTTCCCATCCACTTGCAACCTCCAGGACCATCTTTTCGCCATCTCCTGCTTCTGGGGACCTGCCAACACTGTTTTTGTGGTTAGCTCCTTCTTGCTGACCAACCATGAGCTCCCAGATTCGTCAGAATTATTCCACGCACGTGGAGGCTGCCATTGATCTCCTGGTCTATGTATACCTGCAGGCCTCCTACACCTACCTCTCTCTGGGCTACTATTTCGACTGCAATGATGTGGCTCTGGAAGGCATGAGCCACTTGTTCTGCGAATTGACCGAGAGGAAGGGCGAGGGCTACGAGCATCTCCTGAAGATGCAAAACCAGTGCGGCAGCCGTGCTCTCTTCCAGGACATCAAGAAGCCAGTTCAAGAGGAGTGGGGTAAAACCCTGGACGCCATGGAAGCCGCCATGGCCCTGGAGAAAAATCTGAACCAGGCCCTTTTGGATCTTCATGCCCGGGGTTCTGCCCACATGGACCCCCATCTCTGTGACTTCCCAGAGAGTCACTTCCTAGATGAGGGAGTGAAACTCATCAAGAAGATGGGTGACCACCTGACCAACCTCTGCAGGCTGGCCAGCCCACAGGCTGGGCTGGGCAGGTATCTCTTCAAAAGGCTCACTCTCAAGCACGACTAAGAGCCTACTGAGCCCAGTGACTTCTGAAGGGGCCCTTGCAAAATAACAAGGCTTCTGCCTAAGCCTCTCCCTCCAGCCACTAGGCAGCTTTCTAACTACCCTAACAAGCTTTGGAACAAATGGAACTAAAGCTTTTTGAAGCAGAAGAAAAAATCGTTGGAATCTTGCTATATTGCCCAAGCTGGATTGCAGCAGCGATTTGCAGGCGGACCACAGCTCACTGCAAACTCAAACTCCCGGGCTCAAGTGATCCTTCTGCCTCAGCCTCCCAACTAGATGGGACTACAGGCGAATGCCACCATGCCTGTCTAATTTTTTTTAAATGGTGTCTTGAACCTCTGCCTCCCAGGTTCAAATGATTCTCCCACCTCAGCTTCCCAAGTGGCTGGGATTACATGCACGTGCCACAATACCCTGCTACTTTTTGAATTTTTGGTAGCAATGGAGTTTCACCATGTTGGCCAGGCTGGTCTTGAACTCCTGATTTCAGGTGATCCTCCTGCCTCGGCCTCCCATAGTGGTGGAATTACAGGCATGAGCCACTAAACCCAGCCTAATTTTTTAAATCAACTGATGCCAAAATGAACATTACTGTCATGTGGAGTCTTTGAAATTTTTTTGCTTTTAAAAAGAATTCTTCATGTTAGAAGGTTGCAAACCCTTAATATCATCCCAACACTCCTTTCCAAAGTGGAGATATGGAGGCCCAAGGGGTGAAGTGACTTATGCAAGGCCACACAGTTGGTTTAGCAGCAGGACTGGGCCTCGTGCCGAGGTTCTCAGTGTTGCCTCCTTGCTGTGCTGCCAGCAGCCAGCTCAGGAACAGGCCACCCTCCAGCCCCACAACCACTTCCTTCTCCAAGCAGATCTTGACAGGAGCCCAAAGCTGCTCTGGAATACTGGCCTGTGGCTGCTGGTGCTTCTTTCCTCACCTTTATCTTCTGGGATGGGAAGTCCTGAGTGTCTTTCTCTCTGCCTTCTAGCTCCTCCCCGGGGACAGGAAGGAAAGAAAAAAAAAAAAAAGAGCAAGGCTGACAATACGCCCTGCACTGGGGCTGCTCTCCTCCCTGACGGTGCTGGGCCTTGGAGGACCTTGCCTAATACACTCTGACCTCTGCCGGGCTCCACTCAGCCTCCTCTCAGAGTTGCTCACCTCCTGCCCTCACCTTTGTCTTGCTCCAGATCCTAGGAACCAGAGCGCTTGGTCCTGCCTTCCTGCCCTGATTCCCAGTCCCACACTTTGGTCACATCCTGACATGGGCTGTGTGTACACAGCACCGGAACTGCGTGTCTCCTTGCCTGGCCAGCCAGATCTGGACCCAGACACTCCTTAGGAAGCTCTGGAAACAGGGCTCATACCCTACCTTCCCTAGCCCATCCTCGGCACCCAACAGGACCTGGCCCTGCAGACCCTCACCGAAAGGATGAATGACCTGTTCCATTTGAGTGCTGCCCATGCCTCATCATGACAAATCAGAGCAAAGGGAGGTGGAGGTGCTGAGAGGACATTTCTACCAAACTCTGGGTGACTTCTCTTATACACTACCTGGGGGAATTTCTGTCTTGTATTAAGTCCAGTTCCTTAGATCTGAAATCAAAATGCCATAAACAAAATCTGGGCTGTGACCTGCCCAGGCCAGAGCAAGGAAAACTGGTCTTGGGAATCCAGAAAGAACTTCAGGATTAGGCAAAGTCTGCTGAGCTAAACCAAAAAGTGAGTCATTCATTCATTCATTCATTCATTCATCCATTCAATAAATATGTGTTGAGCACCATGTTTGTCAGGTTCTAAGAGAGGTTCAATGGTAAATGAGACATACTTCCTGTCCCCAAGGAGCTTAGAATGAGGAAGACAAAGCAGAGAACTGGTGTCTACAATAGATTATGCTGTGGGCTGGAATAATAATACCTAACATTTATGGAGTGTTCACTATATGCCAGACTCTGCACTAAGCCATTGATGCTGCATTGTTGCATATAATCCTTATAGAAACCATATTAGTAGATATTATACTATCTCTGTCTTACAGATGAGGAAACGGAGACACAGAGAAGTGACTTGCCCAATGTCACACAGCTGGGGCATGTAGCATACCAAGAATTTAAATGCAGGCTGGGGGCGGTGGCTCACACCTGTAATCCCAGCACTTTGAGAGGCCAAGGCAGGCAGATCGCTTGAGGCCAGGAGTTCAAGACCAGCCTGGGCAACATGGTGAGACCCTGTCTCTACAAAAAATACAGAAAATTAGTCGGACTACATGCACCTGTAGTCCCAGCTACTTGAGAGGCTGAGGTGTGAGGATCGCTTGAGCCCAGGAGGCAGAGGTTGTAGTGAGCCCTGATTATACCACTGCTTTTCAGCCTGGGTGACAGAGTGAGACCCTGTCTCAAAAATATATAGGCTGGGCACGGTGGCTCATGCCTGTAATCCTGGCACTTTGGGAGGCCGAGGCGACAAATCACAAGGGTCAGGCGTTCAAGATCGGTCTGGCCAACATGGTGAAACCTGGTCTCTACTAAAAATACAAAAATTAGTTGGGTGTGGTGGCGGTTGCCTGTAATCCCAGGTACTCAGGAGGCTGAGAGGCAGGAGAATCTATTGAATCCAGGAAGCAGAGGTTGTAGTGAGCCAAGATCATGCCACTGCACTCCAGCCTGGGTGACAGACTGGAGTATAAATCAATCAATCAATCCAGGAAGTTAAGACTCCAAGGCCTGTGCTTCCAGAGGAAAGCAGAGGGTATTATTGGAGCACAGAAAGAGGTACCTGACATGGGAAGGCAAGGAGGGCTTCCTTGAGAACACATGTGAGGAGAGTCCAAAACAGCCAGGCAGAATTGGGAGAACAGGGGAGGAAAAGGCATTCCAGACAGAGGGAACAGCAAGTACAAAGACTGGCGGCAGGAGGCCATGGTGTGTTAATTACTATTTAGTGAGTACCAACTGTATGTCAAGGACATCTAGAAACCTTCAGGGACTGTAATCAGTATCAAATGACTGGCTTGTCTGGGATGAAGAGACTGGAGAGAGAACAGGCTGGAGGCACCAGTCCACAAAGTTCTTTAAAATCCAGGCTAAGGAGTCAAGGCTTTATGCACAGGACAGTGGGAAGATCCTGAAGGATAAGCAGAGAGGTTCCTTTTTTTTTTTCTTTCTTTTTGAGATGGAATTTCACTCTTGTTGCCCAGGCTGGAGTGCAATGGTGCGATCTTGGCTCACCACAACCTCTGCCTGCTGAGTTCAAGCGATTCTCGGAGTAGCTGGGATTACAGGCATGCACCACCACGTCCGGCTAATTTTGTATTTTTAGTAGAGCCAGCTTTCTCCATATTGGTCAGGCTGATCTTGAACTCCCAACCTCAGGTGATCCACACGCCTTGGCCTCCCAAGGTGCTGAGATAACAGGTATGAGCCACCGCACCCAGCCAAGCAGTGTTTCCTAATCAAGTTGTACCTCAGTAAATTCACTTTGAACCATACTAGTTGAAGGAATGGAGGCACGCAAGGCTGGAGGGCATGCTAGGTGCCCAGTCAGGAGATGATGGTGGCCTGAAATGGGGATTGGCAGTGGCAGGAGGGAGAAGTAGCCTAGGTTTGATTACTTCATTGTAGAGGAGCTCACCATCAAACCAGAAGATTGGTGGGGACCAAGATACCAGCTGAGCCTCAGAGGGTCAAGGGTCTGCAATGGCCCAATGCCAGGCAGTTGGCCACAGTCTGAATAGGTGAGTAGATGGGAGGAGAAAAACCCAGCAGGAGTTGGTGGGGATCCAGCAGCAGGAAAGGACTCCAGCCCCTGGGGGACTGATGAAGAAAGAAAATTTTCCACTGGACAGCTGGGGACAGGGGAGACAATGGGAAACCGGAACCAGGAAGGTGGGTCGCTCAGGCTGGCAGCCAGACTGAGGATGCTCAGCTTTGAGAAAGGGATGGAGTTCCTTTTGTCTCCCTCTTCCTCCCTGGTTCTAAATACCCCCTTCCATGGCAGGTGGATTCTGTATTTGTTTTTGTTTTTTTGAGATGGGGTCTCACTCTGTCACCCAGGCTAGAGTGCAGTGGTACAATCTCAGCCCACTGCAACCTCTGCCTCCCAGACTCAAGCCATCATCCCGCCTCAGCCTCCTGAGAAGCTAGACCCACAGGCATGCACCACCACACCTGGCTACTTTTTGTATTTTTGGTAGAGATGGGGTTTTGCCATGTTGCCCAGGCTGGACAGGTGGATTCTGTTTAATCAGGTTGGGCGAAGAGGGGGTAATGTGGTGAAAGGGAAAGAGCAGGAGCTTTGAAGTCAGAGAGAGTGAGTTGAATCTCATCCTTGAGCCACTCACTAGCTCTGTGACTCCAGGCAAGTTACTTAACCTCTCTGAGCCACAGCTCATTCATCTGTAAATGGCCAGGAATCAGGATGAGAGAGTTAAGAAACGTGTCCAATATGACATTGCAGTACTTTTCCAAACTTTAGTCTTGCATCTTCTGCACAACTTTTTCTATGTCAACTGACCACCTATACTATTTTTTGCTTAATATTTTATTTAAATTAGTTTCCTTTTTTTTTTTTTTTTAACATTAATCAATGTACTATTTTATTTAAGAGATGGGCTAGGCGCAGTGGCTCACGCCTGTCATCCCAGCACTTTGGGAGGCTGAGGTGGACAGATCACTTGAGGTCAGGAGTTCAAGACCAGCCTGGCCCACATGGTGAAATCCTGTCTCTACCAAAACACATAAATTAGCTGGGCATGGTGATGCATGCCTGTAATCCCAGCTACTCGGGAGACTGAGGCAAAAGAATTGCTTGAGCCTGAGAGGCAGAGGTTGCAGTGAGCCAAGATCTGTCTCACAAAAAAAAAAAAAAGAAAAAAAGATGAGGCCTCACTATGTTGCTCTGACTGGAGTGCAATGGCTATTATCCACAGATATGATCATAGCACAGTACAGCCCTGAACTCCTGGTTGCAAGAGATCCTCCTGCCTCAGGCTCTCGAGTAGCTAGGACCACAAGAACACATCTGATTCCAAAGTACATTTTTCTTTTTTTTTTTTTCCACATCAGATAGGCAATGTGCTGACAATATAACAAGGTTTGAGTGAGGCACATCTCACACACGAGTGAAAAGCCAATTGTCACACTTATGAACTAC